GTCCTCCATACTGCAGAAACCTGATAATCATCCATTCATTCAAATCAGGTGTGTTTGAGCAGAGAAAAAAGTAAAACATGCAGGGCTGTGGCCCTCGAGGACCAGGATTGCCCACCCCTGATATAAAGGAAGCAGTCAATAATCGTGGGGACAGACCGTCTGGAGGAGAGTGAATCCGGAAGACTTTCGGCAGCAGATGAAGGTGACAGAAATAAAACACGGAAAGACAGAGGCAATAACCTGTCGTCTTGTCCCTGTATGCAAATCAGCCCCCCGTTTGATGAATGAGTGAGGGACATCAGATAAGTCACTCAGGATTATCTTCATCGTTGTAAAGCCTTGAATCAAATCTCATAACAGAGCTGTGATTACACAGCAGAACGGCACTTCAGAAAACTCTGAAGATCCCAGCAACTGGTCGAAATGCTCCAGCTGTCATGAATTAAAAACAGACTCCTGGTGTTGCTCTCCTGGAAGTAAAACTTTTTGTTTTATGTGAAACTGCTGCAAAAAAAATGGCCTATTCTTGATGTTTTGGGTGATTTAAACTTTGATCTCTGCTGTCGGGGCAACCGCCGCGTGCCCGTCCACTCAGGCAGAGAAGTCTTTAATCGGCTTTGATTGGTCAGAGAGGATTAGTGTGTTTGGTGGTGCAGCGTCCCGTGTTGTCGCTACAACAAAGCGGAGTACAAAACACTTCGCTGTCGAGGCCCGTTAGACTGTGACACAACAAAACAGAGAAGCTATACAAACTTGCTGGAAATACATGGGAACAACAGACCAGAGTCTGAAGCATCTTAAAGGGATCCATGATTAGTTGTAACATTAGACTTTTTTTGATGAACATTTATTTTAACTGTAAAATAAAGACTGTAAAAATACTGTAGGATGTTTAGTTTTGTAAATTTTTAAAAATATATTTTAACACGGATGAAGCCATTTTATTTAGACACAAACCATTCTGGGTAAATGATGACGTGGATAGTTCATCAGTGCGAGGCTGCTAGCGAGCTATATCCACCCTGAAGGTTAATCTTGCACAATTTCTGATGATTGACTTTTTTAAATGAAACCAGAGAGCGTTGACAGAGAGGAGAAGGAGAAATGACTCAGCCTGTAACTGAAAATGTGGATGGAGGACAACAGAGCTGCTTCATGGAAGAACCTCAGCTTAGCCTGTTAGCCTTCGTGCTAACACCGACGCTACATTGCCTTATATGTATTAGCTCGGCGCTAGCGCGACAAACAAGCTAAACTAAGGTCCTCCATCCATATTTTCAGTTGCAGGCTGAGTCATTTTTGTGTTCCCCTCTCTTGTCATGTGGATGGAAGACTTCAGTGATGAGAGGAGAATGTGTAGCGCTGAGCTAATACACATATATGGTGATAGCATCAGTGCTAATGCTAAAGCTAACAGGCTAAGCTGAGGTTCTTCTTCCATGAAGCAGCTCTGTTGTCCTCCATCTATATTTTCAGTTACAGGCTGAGTCATTTCTACCTTCTCCTCTCTRTCAACGCTCTCTGGTTTCATTTAAAAGAGCCGATCATCAGATATTGTCCAAGATTAACCTTCAGGGTGGATGTAGCTCACTAGCAGCCTCGCACCGAGGACCTATCCATGTCATCATTTACCCAGAATGCTTTGAGTGTAAATAAAATGGCTCCGTCCATGTAATGTACTTATAAACTTTTAGTTCAAAAATTATAAAAACTAAACAGGCTACGGTATTTTTAGTCTTTATTTTACAGTTAAAATATATGTTTATCAAATAAAGTCTAATGTTATAACTAATCATGGAAACCTTTAAAGATCCCAAACAGGTAATGATATAGAGCACATCTGTCAAACTCAAGGCCTGTGGGCCAAATGTGGCCCGCCATGGCATTTCATGTGGCCCGCGTTAAAGGTAATGTCTTAAAGTAAGCGTATGCTGCTTTAAAGCCCGCATTGACCATAAACTACATCTCTCATAATGCATGTTGATTATTTTACCCACAAAATGAAAACATCCCACCACTAGGTGGAGCTGCAGAAGGTTCAAAAGTAGCCGGCGAAATTAGCAAAGTGTAAATATCCCACTTATGAGGGGTGTGAGGAAATATCAATACACTGAAATATCGCCATATTTAATTTCCTAATACTGAATCCATTCTCAAAAGCACTGTATCTATTTTTAATTAAGGCTTAATGGATGGATGATACAAGAAAAAATGTGAAATACAAATGTAGCTCTCACTGCTGTTCAATGTTTTTCTGATTGCATAAAAATAAATTAAATGTAATCACATTTTATGCATGTAAGGCATGACATGCTCTTTACCACTGAGTTTTTTTTAAATTAAAACCTTTTGGAGAAATTAAGAAATTGTCACATTAGGTTTATAAAGAAAACATAAACAACTTGAAGAGGTCAAAAAATGAATAAAATCGTGAAAGTAAAGCGACTGACCTCTCCTGTCACCAAGTACTTTCCATCTGGGGAGAAGGACAAAGCTGTGATGGTTTTTCTGTCAACAAAAAGACGAAGCAGGTGTCACTGCATTGTATTCTCATGTAGCTCTGGTTGTGTATTTGTGTCCGACTCACCTGGAAGTGTTGATAATGTGGCTCTGCTTGTTCTTTTTGGGGTTCAGGAGGACCACCACACACCTGCAGCAGGATCAGGAAACAAGACAACAAACAATGTAACATTGATCTCAGTTCAGTGAAAAATCAATTTTAAGTAAGTAAATGGTGGCTCATTTCCTTCACTTAATCTTAACATAAAAAAACAAGAAAATGTGTGTTTAGTAGATCGTTTATTTTGACAATCATTTATATTGTTAGAAAACCTGTTTATTTCTTCTTGATGCCACATTTGTTAGAAAAATGCATTTGTGGGTTGGGCTGATGCCAAATTTTCTCTGCCAAACAACTTATTTGGTTTTTGACTCTTGCTTGGTGTTGTTTATTGGATAAGATGATTAAAGTTTGAAAAAAAAAAGAACAAATGGCAAACTAAACGTGGCCTCAGTAGCATGTGGAAGAACCACATCACAGCTACAACAGCCTCCTAACGCTGCTTGGTGTCACGCTTTTAAACATTATGTGTCGAAAGTCAGCCAATTTGGTTGTGTTGATACAGAAAGTACACCTGAGATAATCCCACAGGTGTTCAGTGGGGTTGAGGGCTGTGTCTGAGTTTAGGATTTTAGGATTTAACATAAGTTAAATTGATTAAAGTTTTGTAGGAAATGTGTTTAAATCCTTTAAAAAATGCAAATGTATTTGAAGCCAATGTAGAATAAAAGTGCCCTAAATATTATAAAACAAGCTCAGTGTCAAGCTACAAACAGGCTGCTCTGTTCAGTGAAAATAAATCAGTATAATATTACAGATTTTAAAAACACAGCTTTTATTGTGTAGTTTTGAATGTGTTGATGAAGAAATTTTGTTTTACCAGGATTAACAATTAAAACGTGTCCAGATCTTTGCAAAGTGTTGCCAAATACTGATTAGTTTCTTCTCTGTGTCAAAGTTCAAGTTAATTTAAGTTTTATTTTGAAAAGTAACTTGTCAAAGAAGAATGCAAACTGCACATACATTTCATTTAGATAAAACCAATAGAATAACACTGTCTTCATGTGTAGCACACAGATTGATTAGTCCTCCTGTTACCAAACAGCTCGTTCTCAAACTCCGTGCCGGGGGGAAAAAAAAACATTCCTGAAGCAGATTTAAACTGGGACGACAGGAGGGTTGGGCAACTTTAGCGCAGTTTAATTAGGTTGCTCAGACTGTCAACCGGACACAAACACTCAGAGCAAAACAACAACCAGCGCCTCCTGACGTGAGGTGAAGCAGCTCTAACTCTGACCTAGTTCCTGAACATCAGCTGCGCTTTATTTTTTTACACAATGAACATTTGTTACGACAGAAATCTGTGATACGACTCAAGAATCTGTGGCTCATTACAGCTCAGAAAGAGTCAGGCAGAACCTCCCTGATGACAGGAATGTTAAAGAGGAAGTCCCCTCCTCCTCTCAGCTACTATATGATGGTGCACAGATAACAACCACACACACACACACACACAGACGTTCTGCACACCGAACGTCTGCAGGAGGTAGATATGATAACGGAGAGGTGAGTGTGTGCTGATAAGTCAAGAGGGCAGATGCTCAGATAACAGTACCCTGCAGGATAGGCYACGAGTCCAGACCGGGGGTCGCAGGCCAGTCCGCTGTTTCCCACGGCGGTGACGCCCAGCACCTTCTCCAGGGTCACCTGTGGAGACACAACACCAAGACGAGGTTCAGCTCGGAGCTGAGATCTGTGGCAGGAAGTTAAATATGACACAACAAAACAATCATAAATTATTCACACAATCATAGAAAACACAACTAAAAGAAACATATTTTTATCTTGGATTTGTTCACCATTGTTTTGAATTGAAAAAACAAAATGTAGATGAAATTTTCTCACACTTTAGAAAAACAGAGCCTATTTTTGACACGTCACGTCATCACACAGCACCTTCCTGGCCAAAGCTTTCAGACTGGCTCCAAAAGTTAATGGGTTGCAGTAAAACATCCACTGATWACTTTCTCTGAATTTCATTCAAATCTGTCCACTGGTGCATAAAATATTTTGCTAACAGGGCTGACTTCCCTGCTGCCTTTGCATCAAAAGTCCTCCCTTTGATCCAAGGGCAGCAGGAGGGTTAAAACAACTAAGCAATGTGTTTTCTAATAAATAGAGTTTTATGTCTTAAGTTTAATTTGATGTTTCAGGAAACTAGTTCAACTTTATGTGACTAAAAAGTAGTTTAAACTTAATGCAGTTGAATAAATCTGAGAGTAAATTCAAGAGGTGATTTTTGACTTTTTAGACGGAGAACTAGCTAAAATCTAATTTATTTGAGTAAAATGGCGTAAAATAAAATCACAATTAAATTACAACTGTACAAATTGGTTGTAGTTGTTTTTTTAGTTGTTTTAGCTGGTAAATACATGTATTCTACCTAATGTAAAATGTATTGTGATACTAATAACTAATGTAATACTGTAACTAATGTATTGTACCTAATTTCCCTCTGGGATCAATAAAGTATTTTTGAATTTGAATTGAATTGAATTTTCTACAAATAATAAAGTTAAACGAACTGTTAGTTTTTCCAGTGTAATTTTAATAAAACTTGTGGTTTGTGGGGTGTCCTAATGAGCTCATATTGGTTTTATTGGTTTTTTTWAAAAGAGATGTTCAAGACTTCAGTTTGGATGTTCTGCTCTGAGGGCAGTCCTGGTGTTTGTTGTTGGAGCAAGAAAGTTAGTTTTATTTGAGACATAAGTTTTTAAGCTTTTTAACCTGTTTTATTTATTTATTTTTTTGACAGCGTTGCTAAAGAAACTTCTTACCTTCCCGTCCAGGTTCTCTCCGCTGCTCTTCTTCTTCCTGGCGGATGGAGACCGCAGCAGGTTCCTGATGCGGCTCCTGAAGGTGAACCCGTCTCCCGGCATGTTGTCTCGTCTCTTCACGCTTCAGAACCCGGCGAAGTGATATCTGCGCCGCGGCTCCTGTTCCACAAACACCGGGCCGCGCTGCTCCGCGGACCAGAACCTCCTCCGGCAGGCGCAGAAAGTTTTAAAAAGCCCGACTATAATCTGCTGAGTGGCTTTACCGTCGCTCCACATCAGCCTCTGATTGCGCCCGACAGGAAAATAAAGAAATTGCGCCTCTGCGTGACGTCACTGTGTCAGTCTCTTGATTAAATCAATGATTTTGATCAGATTTAACGAGATTAAAGCCTCAGTCACAGCCGAGAGGCGGAAGTCTCCTGATAGCTCCCTGTTGATGGGCCGATTTGCCTAAACTGAAGTAATTGACTTTATTTACATTTAGTCATTGTTCTTTGTGTTCAAACAGATGGCAACTTTCATGTAAAAATTTCCCAATTTAGCGCAAGAAGCAGAACACTACAATAAAAGTAGCAAAATGCTAGCTATACTTGCTCAAAGCTAAAATGGCAAAAAGCTACTCTAAAGTTAACAGTAGCAAAAAGCTTGTTAAAAGTAGCCAAATAGACAAAAAAATAATAATAAATAACGACGTAGCTATCTATAAGCAGCAGGAGGTTGGGTAATAAAAAATATTAGTATAATATTGGATCAAAGACTACCTGACAAACACACCACAGTTTGTGAGACTGAAGGACTGTGTGTCTACATGTGGTCAGGAGCACCACAGGGAACTGTACTCTCACCACTCCTGTTCACGCTGTACACTTCAGACTTCCAGCACAAGTCAGACTGCTGTCATCTACAGAAATACTCAGAAGACTCAGCAGTTGTTGGGTGTATCAGAGATGGACATGAAGCTGAGTACAGAGAGCTGGTGGACCGCTTTGTGACATGGTGTGGGAACAATCATCTCATCTTGAATGTGAACAAAACAAAGGAGATGATTGTAGATTTCAGGAGAAATAGTATTAGATCAAACCCTGTTTCCATCATGGGAGAAGACGTGGAGGTGGTTGAGGAATATAAATACCTCTTTGTTCATCTGGACAACAGACTGGACTGGAGACTCAACAGTGAAGCAGTCTACAAGAAAGGACAGAGCAGACTGTTCTTCTTAAGGAAGCTGAGATCCTTCAATGTCTGCAGCAAGATGCTGCAGATCTTCTASAAGTCTGTTGTTGAGAGTGTCATCTCTTCTGCCATCACCTGTTGGGGCAGCAGCATCAGAGTCAGGGACCTAAAAAGACTCAACAACCTGATAAAGAAGGCTGGTTCTGTTCTGGGGACAACTGTCGAATCTCTGGAGATGATGGTGCAAAGAAGGATTTTACATAAAATCAAGAACATTGTGGACAACCCTGACCATCCTCTTCATCAGACTGTCAYAGAAAGACAAAGTGTCTTCAGTCGGAGGCTTCTTCAACTTCGCTGTAATACAGACCGCTACTGAAGATCTTTCCTGCCCACAGCCATCAGCGTCTACAATTATTCTTTAGTTAAATGAGTTACAACAACACCTAATTTCCCTCTGGGATCAATAAAGTACTTTTGAATTGAATTGAATTGAAAAAAGCCATGGCGGGCCACATTTGGCMCACAGGCCTTGAGGTTGACGCATACGTTGTAACATAACCACAACTAAAAACAGCAAAAGGCTTTTTAGTATTTAGATAGCTACAAATACCATAAGACTTGCTAAAAGTAGATTAAAAAAGTAGCTAAACTGTAGCCAAAATAATTAAAATAAAAAACGGGAAATGTGCATGCTCAATATTCATTCACATAAACATTTCTAAAGATGTTTTGAAAAGATCAATGCAGCTACTTTCCAAAATCTTTTTATTAACACAAGCTAAGAAAAAAAATGTTTTAACATATGAAGCATTAAAAAAGCAAGATCAAGAAATGGTAAAGGTGCTGGTGTTGGGTAACACTCGACCACCATGAGGTGTTACATGCACCACTTAGTTTGTCAAAGCTGGGACAGACACAGACTAAAATGTAAACCTCAAACTATTGTGTGAGAAGTTGGATCTTTAACTTTCTTTACCTGTGACTAACAGAATACTCTGCTGGCTACAATCTTTAAAGGGCCAATATTATGTGTTTCTCAGGCATTAATTTAAATACTATACCATAATAAAGTATCTATGTCCCCTTTAGCTGTCATTAAAATGCTGTTTTTATGTTTAAATAGAAAATAAACTTTTCTACTCATCACTTCCTCTTCTAAACGCCTTGAAATTGGTCTCTGTCTCTTTAAGAACCTCCTTCTGCTTCTGTCCCGTCCTGTTCAGTGCAGGGGG